GAAGCAATTCTAAACCCAATCCTGAATAACACACAGGACCAGGTTCAAAAGGTATCATAGATGAGCCACTCTGCAATGGCGACCAGAACAACAACATTTAAACAACATAGCATGGTGGATTTCTTTGGCTTACTCTCTCCCACTGACATACAACATGAGGAAAAGAAACTACATAAAAATGAGGAAGTTAAAAAGAAGTTAAAAAGAACAGTAAAAACACACACAGGAGGCCTGCAGACAGCCTGGAAGCTGTTTAAAAATATTATATTAGAGGCTCAGGAAAAATGGATATTGTAATTAGAAAGGTAGCAAGCAGTCCAATAACTTTGTATGGTTTCATGGCAAGGTTAAGGAGGCCATTAAAGGCCAAAAGGCCCCTTTCAAAAAAATTAAAGGTGTCATGAAATGAAGAAAACAGCAAAGCAATACAAACTCTGGTAGGTCAAGTATAAAAGCAAAATAAGGCAGGTAAAAAAAAGAATTCAAAGGGACACCTTGTTAAAGATGCTAACGTTAATAATAAGAGCTTTTTAAAATAAGTAGAAACAGGAAGCCAGCAAGAGAACCAGTACAACCATTAGATGACCAGGGCATAAAACAATGAACTCCGAGATGGCAGAGGCATACTAGAGAAGCTAAATGAACTGTTTGCATGTTTTTGCTGCAGAAACTACTGGGGGAATTCCCATACCAGATCAATTCCTCCTAGCAGATAAGTCTGAAGCGACACTAGAAGAAGTTTCAGAACAAGCTGATAACCACTAATGGGGCACTGAGACAAGAGTTCTGAAGGACTTCAAATGTGAAATTGAAGAACTACGGGCAATAATATGCAAACCTATCATTACAAACAGCCTCTGTGCCAGAAGACTAGCAGGTTACCTTATTGTCAAGAGGGGTTCCAGAGGCGATCCTGGAAACTAGACCAGTGAGTCTTACTTCCATACCTGGCAGAATCTATAATAAAGAATAAAATCAGCAATCACAATCCCAGGCAGTGGTACAGACTGGTTACACACTAGCTAAGCAGCAGTTCTATAAAAATGACCTGGGACAATACAGTGGACAATAAGCTGAATATGAGCCATCAGTGTACACTTGCTGAGAAGGTGACTAATAGTATACTGGACTGCAATAGCAGGAACATAACCACTTTCCTTGATCTGCTGGTAATTTCCCTCTATTCAACACTGATGAGGCCACATCAGGGGTACTGTGTTCAGTTTTGGGCCCCCACTACAGAAAGTATATGGAGAAATTGGACAGAGTCCAGCAAAGGGCAACGAAAATAATTAGGGGGCTGAGACACATGACTTCTGAGAAGAGACTGAGGGAACTGGGTTTATTTAGTCTGGAAAAGAGAAGACAGGGGATTTAATAGCAGCCTTCAACCACCTGAAAGGGGTCCAAAAAGGGGGTGGAGCTAGACTGTTCTCAGTGGTGGCAGATGACAGAATAAGGAGGACTGGTCTCAAATTGAAGCAAGGGAAGTTAAGGTTAGATATTAGGAAAAACTCTTACTAGGAGGCTAGTAGAGTACTAGAACAGGTTCAGAGAGGCTGTGGACTCTCTGTCCTTAGAGGTTTTTAAGATCCAGGTAGATAAAGCTTTGGCAAGGATGATCTAGCTGGGGATGGTCTTGCTTTGAGAAGGGGCTTGGATTAGATGACCTTCTGGGGTCCATTCCAACCGTAATTTTCTGTGATTCTACATGGAAAAATATGACATGCTGGGGAAGAGTCAGCATGGGTTTTGTAAAGTGAAATCCTGCCTGACCAATCCATTCAAGTTATTTGAGGATGTTAACAAGCATGCGGACAAGGGGGATCCAGATGACATAATACATTTGGATTTTCCAAAACTTTCAACAAGATCCCTCACTGAAAGCTTGTAGAGACAGATAGTACAGTCAGAGTCAAAGGGACTCAATAAATTCATAGACAACAGATCCATTAATAGACAGTAAACAAGAGTCAGGGAGGGTATGACAGGGAAAAGATCACTCTAGATAGAACCTGTTCATGTGTACTCCCCTCTAAAGTATCCCCTATCTACCACTGTTAGAGACAAGATATTGGGCTAGATGAACCATTGGTCTGGCCCATTACAACACTCACATTCTTATACTATCAATAACTATGCTACAACTTCAGAAAAAAGATCTTAAAAGTTTATTGGCTGAAGTCTTGGAAGTTACGCAAAATGCACAAAGCAAGAGACAAAATGCCCACTAATAGCAAATAACCACTTCTTCCACAGCTTACAGGTCAATTACAAGAACAGTACTCTGTGGAAGTGTTTTTTAAAAGATGAGGCCACAACGGGAAGTGTGCTCAGTCAAGCATGAGTACAGAGGATTAGTTAGCTGCATTAGACTGAAGTCAGGCAGAAGACAGGACAAGAGTAGCACCTTACAGATTTTACTGGATCACTGAGGCATAAGGTTCCTGAAGACGAAGACTGTCTTCCATGAAAACTTATACCTTTCTGAACCACTTACGTCTCTAATGTACTACCTGCCTAATGTACTATCTGCCCCAAAATTCACATTCAAGCAGTTACAGCAGGCAGCTCTGAAAAAATGTTGAACTCATGCTTAAGCATGAGAAGCAATGATCTGTAAGAGAGACAGCTTTACATTCCCAGCAGTGGGGTGAGGTACACCACTTGGCTATGATATATCATCTGCATTTGCCCAAGGCCCAATACAACAAGGCCTTGATCCTGAACCCCAACATATCAACAATTAACAATCAGATAATGCTTACACATCCCCTGTTTTTTCTGCCTGGATGTATAGCAAAGTGTAACTTCAAGAAGTAGATAAATACACATAAATCTTGCTCACAATGACTTAGCACTCAGTTGTCTTTGACTGGCAATTAACCAGAAAGAAGTAAGTATTTTACTGAGTAGAAAGGGGGTGGGGGTGGGAAACTGACCCCAAGGATTTCTGTGCAATTGTTATCAAGAAGGCCTTTCTTTCAGTTATCAATCCGTTAATTTTGTAAATGGAGTGCCCAGCATATGCAAATGAACACGAAGAATGCTGCTCGTTAATGTGTTACAGGAAAACTTACTACAAGTGCGTATCACCTTTCCAAGTCAGCATTTGATCTACTTTAAAACACACCTATCATAAAACTTTAGACTCTTTCAAAGCTTTTACGTAATTTATGAATTTAGAACTGGCTCTTGGTTTACTAGCTTACTCAAGTGTTTCTGTAGCAAAGAAAAAAAAAAATCTTCAAGCAACATTTAACTTCAAAGCCAGCTAGTACTATACAATGACCAGGAAGTATGTGAAGATAGAATAGTTTGTACAAAGTTATCTCATAGAAAAAAATTAAGTTGGCCTTTAGATGGTATAAATCACTGAACAGTTTAGCACAATTTGAGAAGACAATCAGGTGACTTTTCCCCTTCAATCAAGATAAGAATCAAAAACTTAAAAAGTTGTAGTGTGTACAATAAGGTAACCCTCAGTCAAGTCATGTGACAAGGCTAAGCATCAGGAAACTCCTCCTGAAACAGTATTTTACATTTTTAAAAACAAAAAGGCTGCATAAAGAAATAAAAGCAAATATTTTGCTAAATTCAAGCTTGTGTTTGAGGAACCATCATCAGCATGTACTGTGCATACAGGACTGCAGCCACCATTTATATGCTATAAATCGTCCTCTATGTTAATTTGAAAGACCTACAGCAACTTTAAGTTATAACTGATTTTATTTTTTGTAGTAGATGGGCAGAGGTAGCAATCCAGAGTTTCGAGAAGAACCTTTCAAGGATTCCCTAGTACATCCAGGATTCGAGCCATGTTTTCAAAAGTGCTTTGGCAAGCAGGAAAAAATATCTGGTGTTGTCTGCAGTATACTGCATGGAAAATGCATGTGTCCATACCCCAACCACAGCATACTATTACTACCGACAAGACTTTAAACAACACAACAAAGAGAACTCCAACTGTAAAGCTGTGTCTGAGATAAAGGCCCGTCATCCTTGGCCCACTTATTCTACCAGAAAAATTATCTGAGGTGTAAGGACATATTAAACATGTTTCCTTCACTCCTAGTAGTTTAGACGTTTCACAGGATTATGGTACCAAGAAAGCCATGCAATGGGGGAGATGCTGAATGACAGATGATGGGTTTTCAATGCTACCATTCCAAGGCGTCAGTGGCACAGCTGCACCATCAGTAGCCAGTCCAGCATGCACAGAATCCATCTGACGGACAGAACAATTAAGCCTTTTAGACCTCACTCTCATATTGCTCTTTGCATCAATCTGTATTACTCAACCTTGGAAAACAAGTCACAAGAGAATGATTACTTCAACCATTTTGAGAACTAACCGACTCCTCATGCTAGGACAGACAAACATTTCCTTGTGATTGCAGGCACCCATCTCTCACGATCTGTAGAAGGATGAAGAGTCCCATATTACTAGATTCACACTAGAAAACTTGCAAGTGACCCAAGCCTTGGGGCAGTGGTGACACGCTGTCCGAGCCTTTTTCAGCTGCACTAACTGCTCTTCCAGAAGAAGGTGCTGGCGAGAGGCATCTTGGCGCTAGCTCCCCAAGGCAGGGCGCCCCAGGGAAGGCTTTCCCATGCTTATTGCCAAGGGACTCCTGCAGAGGATGCAGGGCACCAAACAAGCTCACAAGAGCTCAGGCAGGGAGAGAGAAGCCCAGCTCTTCGCCTGCTGCACTCGGGGGAGCAAACTGAGATGAAGCCCACGCCAACCCAGGTCGGCAGCGAGCATCGCCCAGGGTCCCGGGGACGACCCAGCCCCTCCTGCAGGGCCCCTAGGCTAAGCCCCGTCACTGCTAGGTCCCCCCTTCCCCGCCCCGCAGCCCCCTTTAGGGGGGAGACGCGGCCGGAGCCCAGGGACGTTCGCTCGTCTGCCCAGGCGGCGAGGAGCCCGAGGCCCCGCGGAGGCGGCCGGGAGCACCCACAGCCCCAGTGCCAGGGGCAGCCAAGCCAAGCCTACCTACCTCCGCTCCGCTCAGCCCGACCCGGCTCCCGAGGCCCTGTCCGGCTCGGCTCAGTCGCTTGTTTGCGCTCCCGGGGCGGGGCTCCCCGCACGCATGCGCCGTCTCGGCGTTCCTCGGCTGGCAGGGACTGCTCCACTGCTCGTCCTCACCCTCCCCAGGGGCGGGGCTTGAAGCGGGCTCCTCCCCCAGCCGCCTTCGGGCTCGGAGGGGTGGGGCGCTGCTGACACTGTGCAGCGGGGAGGGGAGGGGTGCTTTGATGCGGGTGCCGCCCCTGCCTTCGCTCACAGCCGCGGGGCCCCAGCCCCCGGGTCCAAATGTTTGTGTCCTTACGACAGCAACATACGCGGGCTGGGGCCTGCCCCTGCCCCTCCCGGCGGGCTGACGCCTTAGTGACTGCGCATTTTCTACCCCCTGCGCTGAAGTGACATCTTAAGCCCCCTCTCTACATCTTGCGTGCAGGATGCAGTTAAGTAGCTTATTCAGCAAAGCAACTATCAAGCCATCAAAACCTATAAAGTTAGAGCTGGAAAATACGCAATACAGGCAGTCCTCGGACCTAGAACACAATTGGTTCCTGAAACCTGCCCCTTAACTCAAACCGTTGCACCTCGGAACCTTTTTTCCCCATAGGAAACAATGTTATAAATGGGGGGCTGGCTCCTGAACCAAGGCACAATACCCTATTTTCACCAAAAATAACCTAGAATGTTGTACTCAATCAATTATAGATGAGTAACACAGCTACATTAACGTAGTTATATTGTAACTAGGAATCATACTGATTTGGAAGGACTGTTTTGAGGTGACTGCTGGACTTTTTGAAGGGCTCTTGGCTGGAGTCTTCTCAGGAGTTTTGGCTGCTTTCCTAAAGAAAGCATCCAAGGAAGTTTGGACAGATGTTCTCCAGGGACACAGGCAACACAGCAAACTTGTTCGCTGGTGTGGCATCGCATCAGATCAAGCCTTGTAAAGTCAAAACTGATGTCAATGTTGAAACAGGGTGTCAATTTATAAACGTTGTAAGTGTGAAACATTGTAACTCAAAAAGTTGTAAGTCCAGGACTGCCTGTAGGTTTATAGCTGGTTACTATATGGTTTTAATTTGCACGTCAGGGTCTGAGACTGCCAGTCTCATCAGGTAACAGTACAAAAAAGATAGGCGGCTAAGGGCTGCCCTAAGACCCCTTTGTAAACATGGGTGGCCAGTCCCAACCTAGTGCCCTCACTTCCTACCTGCTGCCCCAATCCCCAGTGTGTAGGGCTGGGGGCCCCTAAGCAGCCCCTCACTCCCTGAAGTTCTGCCAGCCATTTTAAAAGCTTGTTTGCCACCCTTTCATATATTACTATGACCCAATTTGGGGTCATGACCCATGGGTTGAGAAACACTGATCAAGGGCACCAGGCACTGCCCAGATGGAAGTCCTGCCATGACCTGAGCACAACTGCACCAGCATTAAGGCAATAGGATCCAGTGCTGGATCCCACAATCACACATCTTGCCATGCCCATCTTAGAATAATGGCAAGAGAAAAAAAAGATGAAACTAAAACAAAAACGTGCAAGAGGGACAGAATCACAAGGGAAGCATAGAATGAACAGCATAGCAGGAGGCATGATTGTGTGCATTGCACATCGGATCATACCATGCCTTGACCTGAAAAACAAGGGGCCCCTTAGATCAGCATACTTATGTTTTTATAGCACTTCTTACAACCAAAGCAAAATGCCTGATTTCAGCTGAAGTTGGAAAAGCTATTTCTAGCAATTACTTCTCAGAGTCTCAAGATAAGCAGATACAAAGTAAAAAAAATAAGTTAAAAAAAATGCTTTTGCAGATAGTCCCTTTTCCCCACTTTGCTCATCCAGTTAGAGGCAGTTTCCCATAAATTTACCATAATTAAAGACAGAGGACAGAGACAGACTACCATGCTGGTTTTAGGTCAAAGAACAGGGGCATCCCTTCTAATGATTCAGTTAAAAAATGACACAAAAAATCATCATCTACAAGCTTGTAATTACATGGGCATATTTTCTTATTTTTAAAGCCCTAAGTAGAAACGGAGCTAGTCATAGAATCATAGAATAAAGTTAGGGTTAGAAGGCACCTCAGGAGGTCATCTAGTCCAAACCCCTGCTCAAAGCAGGACCAGCCCCAACTGCATCTTCCTAGCAAATGCTTTGTCTACCTGGGCTGGGATGATCTAGTTGAGGATGGCCGTGCTTTGGGCAGGGAGTTGGACTAGTTGAGGTTCCTTCCAACCCTAATTTTCTCTGATTCTATGATTAGCTCAGTTTCTTCAAGAATAAGAAAATATGCTCACATCATTAAAAGAAATTGAATGCCATCTGGTTGCAGCCTATGCTCTGGTGGAGCCCAAATCTGTACATTTAGAATTAATTTGTTCTGAGATCTTCTTTACAATGATCCAAGGCCAGAGCTACACTTGCACAACTAACAATGTCATTATTATTTACGGTATGCTTTTAGATCAGCATACAACTTTGAAGAGAGATTTTTAAAAAGAAAAAAGCAAGCTCCAAGAGGCAGGGATTTTACAATTTCAAGGGACAGAGAAGAAGAAAGACGACAGGATCATAGAGGCTTGTGAGAAAGACACCAATAAGCATACCGAATTAAATCTTGGAAAGGCTAGTTGCCATAGAAACCAAATCAAACACACTAAACAGAAATAACTGTATTTTTAAATTGTGCTATCTTAAATATTAAGTTATTGCCTTTCAAATTAGATGTATAAAAAACCATCATAGCACAGATCAATCTCTTTTACTTGAAACAGCACCCAAGGGATGGGAACCTACAGCAGTATAGGCTAAATAGGGTGATCCCTACCCCAAGAAGTTTCCAACTTAGCATATGGCAAGAAAAGAGATGGAATTAAACAAAAAGATGTACAAGAGGGACAGAAACACAAGGGAAGAATAGAATAAATACCTCCAAAGTACATGCCAGTCTCCAGATTCAACGAAGTAAAAAGCTAGGGGTGCACCAATAAAGATTTTCTTGGCTGATGAGCCAGGAGCAGCCAGGTACCGTGGAGAGTGGCTCCCTGCAGGTAAGTCTGTGGAGGGAAAGGAGTGTAGGGGAGGGAAGGGGTGTGGTTGGGGCAGATTGAGGCCCCCACAATGAGGGAGGGCATGGAGCAGAGACATGGGGCTTGGGGTGCCCATCCAGGGTGATGAATGCAGCCTGGGGCCCAGGTGGGAGTGGGACAGAACAGCAGGTAGCTTGTCCAAGGGATCAGTGTCCCAGTGCTTAAAAATGGCAGTGGGGGCACTTGAACCAAAGCTTGTCAAATGAGCTTTAGTTCAAGCGCTGCCACTACCATTTAAGTGTGGGGACTTTTTAGGAGCAAAGCAGAGCCAAGCAGGGCAAGGGCAGAGGTGGTTGCCTATTGTCAGCTTGAGGCTCTCCACCCTGCTGCCTTTGGCCCAGGAGCCATGCACCAGGTCCCCTAACCACCTGGCAGCAAGAGGCACTGCTGCCAGATGGACAGGGGACATGCAGCCAGCACACGGCTCACAGGGCAAAGGTGGCGGTGTAAACAGCCCCAAGTCTGCAGTGGGCCACCCACCTCCACCCCATGCACAAATCCAAGGGGGCACATGCCCCCCATGCCTCCCTGGAGGACTATGCACAGTGGTGCAGAACTGTCCCTCTCCCTCCATGCCCTCTGGACAAATATTAAATTATTTCCTTTCAAATGCTGTGCCCGCCCGCAGCTCCATCCTGCTCCCCATCCTGGTTCCAGGGTCCCAATTCACTGCCCTGGCTGGGCAATGCCCCCAGCCCCTGCCCCACTCCCTCTGTCATCATGGGGGCCTCAATCTGCCCCTCCCTCCCACATGCCCCCACAGACTTGCCTGCAGGGTGCTGCTCTTCACACTGCCTGGCTGCACTCCTGGCCACATACATGCTGTGGCTGCGCACATGCATGTGGCATCTGGGGGAACTTGCCAGAAGGCATATTAGATTTAATTGGTGACATTATAGACCACACTGACCAAAAAAAGCTGATAGTTGATAAAGTTAAAGGCACCAAAAATGAACAAAGCCGCTCCCTTTTTGAGGCTGGCATGCCTCCTTCCATTGTTACATCATACATTACAGCAGATGGTGTTTGAATGGTAAGAATTCCCATTGCTGTCCATTCATTCCATCACAAGCAAGACTGACATCAGTACCATATGCAATAATTTCTTCCATGTTGTCCGTTTAAGATTTTCATCCTCAGAGATCAAAATAGATATATCTTTTTTGTTTTTTATTTTATAGCAGTCTTCAGCTAAGCCTTGGAAAAGAAGATACATGTACATTCCTTTCTTCCACTATTCCCTTAATGAAGCAAAGGGAAAGGTTGAACAGTACTGGTTTTATACCTTTAAATATAGTACACCGAGGAAAGCCGCAGGTAAAAATGAGGTTTCTTTTTCTACATTTATTGCCACAGCTATATTCATGACATGCTGAACTTCATTTGCAAACCTCACATCTTCTCCTTCAATAAATAAGCTTGAACATACTGACATTTCCCCCCTCAGATAAATGGCAGGACTCCATGTATTCTGGTTTCACTGCCACATAATTTGCTGGAAAATCCAATCTGTTATTTGGAATTACAACCCAACAGTTAAACATCCATTAAAAATAGGCTTTACCATGAAGATAATCTTTCAAACAGGAACTAAACATAAATCAATACTTGTTGTTAAGAGCCTACCCATCATCAATGTCTCCAATTTACCTCAAGGGAACACTAATCCAGAAACAGCATTTATTGTCAGATGTACTAAGGAAGCTGCAACTTGGAAGTAGAGCTCAAATAATTTTGCCTTTGAGAACTATTTCCTGAGAGGGCAGGATCAAAACCTACTGTTCAAGATTTTGTATAACTAATGGACTGTCATTAGCAGATAATTCTTATTATGCTAATGATGTATGCATGTACTCCTGGAACCATTTTTAGGAACACATTAGCTGGAGGGAAGGGGCAGTCAGAGAACATAATCTGACACTACAGAATCAAAAGTTGGGGAAAGTGGGTGCAAAAAAATTGAGTTGATAAGCTGGCCATTCCAAAAGAGAAAAAATGAACAAAGCTCAAAATAAAACTTAAAACATTTTATAACCTGGCTTTAGAAGGTACTGAACAACTCAATCTTCCACTGATGTCCACATAATACCTTTGAAATGTAGGCCACTACTGTGCAAGGACACTCTCTCACACATGCATATATTGCTCATCCTGCTACAACAGTAGCAGTCTGGTTTAACAAAAAATTTCATTTTCAAAACAAAAAATAAGAATTTTTTTGTAAAGTTCAAAATGATATGTAACAACCATTAAGATGCTGAAACAAATACAAAAAGCTAAGAAAGATGGATGCTGTCTTCCATGTTTTGACTAGCATCAATATGAAGTTGAGAAGAAATGATGTCACCAAACTGATCTCCCAAGAAATCGTATAATTTAAGATGTTGTGTCATGGGAATCTATCTGTTCTTAAGAATTACCAGTTTACTGGAATTGATTATAGAACTGGAATAAAAGAGCTGCTTAGCATAGTCACGGATAACATAAAACTCTATTGCCAAATAGGATTTCACAAGTCTGGAAATATACGTAGTCTAACGGAAGTAAACATTTAAAATAATGCAAGTTCAATTTATATAAAATATCAATAGTACCTTGGTTTCAAACAATTATTATAAGCTTCTGAACAGAGATGTGGTTAGCTGTGTTAGTCTGAAGTCAGGCAGGGGACACCTTAGAGAGTAACTTGTTCAGAAAGGCATGAACTTTCATGGGCACCAATCTAGTTTATCAGATGCTAACTTGATGACTGGCAAGAAGTTTCTGATTAAGCTATATTATTTGTTGCTTGTAAGGTGGTAGTACCCAGAGCTCCTGAAAGTGTAGGGCCATGCTGTACCACTGACTTTGAGGGGAATAGGACAGGGCCCAGCAACATCCTCGCATTTGTGACAAAATTCAATGTCCATAAAAAAATGTTTAACAGCACAAGCCAACAATAGTACAGGCACAGGTGTCTTCCACAGGTATGTTAACTTTTCTAAGGGCCTGCAATCTACCCTATTAAGTATGTTTCACTAAAAAAGAACTTTAAGCATGTTTTGGATTTAACAGATATTAAGCTGGTCCCCAGCTATACTACCCCACTGTGCTTGAATTTGGTCAGGTTCTTAATATAGTTAGGCCTAAATCACACTTCTAACTAACAGCAGAATTCCTAAGACTTCAAGGAAACACAGATTTGGTTTTCACACTGGTCTTCCAGCACCGTTAAATACTAATCTTGAGCTTCCCTTTAGCAGAAACTACTATTCATTCCATATTTCTATTGCTTAGACACACTAAAATCTAAAAAGCTACTTGGCTCTCTTTAATAGTCCCTGTGTGCCATATACATCCTCAGTTGCATCAAAATAGGTCTGGATACAAAGAACTGAATACTAGTCAGTAAATATACAGTTCAGCAAATTTTTCTGGTTTTCCAACTTTTTAACTAGTCGGGTATTAACTTGTAAGTGAAACGCTATGAATAGCAGTAATTGTCAAACAAATGATTCTGCCACATTGCCTGGAATTCAACAAGTTATATATTGAAATACAGGTTTTGATGCCACTAACATGATCCAAATGCATTAAGGATTCATAACATCCAAGCGCATTATAAATATACTAAATATTAAATAATTAAATATTTTGGGTTTTTTTCAGTCAATGAGAAGAATCAGTTTGGAATTGGAAGGTTATTTTCCAGGAAGTCTAATTTTAGAGCAGCTTTTAGACTGTGTGTAAACAGTTCCTGTTTAACTATAGGCTCAGGAAAGTAATATATCATAATGTAAATAAGTGTCTAACTAATTCGTAATACAACACAATCTCTGAAACTACAAAGCTATATACTGGAATTTCAAATCTGGAAAGCTCTTTCCAGAGGAGCTGTGTTTTACATATAGTATTTTAAAATACATGTACTATCATAGTTCATTAACTGACATTAGCAGATACAACACAATGTGGCTCTTAATTTTCCACACATTTTGGCGTCATTGTGTTGGACCAGGATTTTGGCAACACAAATGCACAAAATCAGTTGACTCTTGGGATTTTCTAGTTCTGTATTGACAATATATATCAGGATTGGGAAAGAATCAAAATGTCTAACTTCTTAGTATATACAACACGTGATTAAGAATGAAGAAGTAAAGGGTAAAAACAACAACTTCCATGAATTCATAGACCAAGTGTGCCATAAATGTCTGATCCTGATTTCATTTTTAACAAGGATAGAGGCCACAGATAATCTATAGAGTTATACAGTATGAAAACAACATCAGAATAGCTTTAAAACTTTAAAGCAGTGTACTTCTTTAACCTGAGCATTGAAATAATCACACACACATATATATATATATATATATATATATATATATATAGCTTATACAACAGATTTTCCTGGGATTTTGATTACAAATATAACATTTACATGTTTGGCACTTCCTGGATAACATTCAACTTCTGTAGGTTTCCTTATCCCTTGGCATTACCAGACATTTTTCTTCTTTTAAATTCCAAGTGTATTTAAGATGTGGAGTCGACATCTGTAGTTTTACCTATTTCATGTACATCATTTTCTTTACAATGCATGGTCCCAGGGGGCCAGGAATATGATTTTCTAAGTGATCTCAATGAATTTTTAAGTACTTTTGTATTGTAAGTTGAGCAAGTGCTGTTCTGAGAACCGGGATTTTGGCAACAAGAATATGCACAATGAGATGATTCTTGGGATTCTGTGGTGCTGTATTGACAGTTCTCCTGAGTTATGCTCTCTCCTGAAAGATTATTTTCTTTACTTTGCTTTGAAGTTTCCTCTTTTAATTCCATTGCACGGGCCAGCATGTAACTAACCTTTCTCTGATGAGCCAAAGCTTCCTCTTTATCATTCAGCTATGAGAATATTTCAAAAAGAAAAATGAAAACAAGTTTATAAATTAAGAACAAAACACTGCATGTATTTCAACAGTATTTACATTCATTTAAGGAGAGCAATGCCAAGGCCCAATATGCCCCTTGAATGCTTTTCATGATACTAACCAAATCTACCAACACCCGAAGTGCTTCATGAGGATTATCCAATTCTTCCATTTTCCTACAGTCTGCATCAGAAATGAGCATGCCTGCTAATTTTTGTCCCAGACTTTTCTTGTTCCCTTGTAAAGTGATGTGTCCTAAGAAAGAGAATAAATTTCACCTGAAATTCATGAATGTGAACAGTTTTTTTTTTTTTTTAAGAAGATTAAAAAAAGGCTGAATTTAGGTTTATAGACATACTCTAAAGCAAAATATTGCACCTTTTCATAAATAAAGTACAACTCAAATGATCATTTCCTTTACTGGATGCAATAATGCAGTTTTGCCTACAAGGATGTCTTGGCCCACACTAATGATATAACAGTCTTCCAATTGTAAACATGGGTGAATAAAATGGAAAATGTATAACTGCATGAAAACACACACTTTAGCTCAAGGGTGGGCAAAATACAGCCCGTGGGCTGGATTTAGTCCACCAGCTGATTGTATCTGGCCCATGGATCGGCTGCCAAAATCTTCAGATCTGGCCTGCAGGGAGCCAGTTCCGGCTGCTGTCATGCCAGGTAGGCAGGCACACCCTAGCCCCATCCCCAGCTTACACCAGCTCCTACCCATGCACCAATTTCACTGCCTGACCCTTCCCTCAACTAATGTGTTCCTAAAAATGGTTCCAGGAATACACGCATACATCATTAGAAGCACACTGGGTGCACACTGGTATCAGCTGTAGACGCTGCCTGCAGGTTCCTGCTGGGGAATCAGGGCAACTGCCTGGGACCGCAGCTGACGTGCTGATGCAGTAACATCACCTGTGGTCCATTCGGGTCCACAGGGGGAAGCTGCCGCCTGTGTCTACAACTGATGCTGGCACCTGCCCATCGCCACTTCCAGCATGAGCTAGGAGCTGGCGTAAGCTGTGGGGCGTGCTGCAGGCACAAGATGGTTGTGTTGGGGGTTGAGGAAAG